TGTGAAATCATCTTTACGAGTGTGTAAATAAAATAAAGCCATCTTCTCTGAAAAGCAATATTGGATTCTAACTATTAGTTCAGACAATTAATTAGATGATTGTATACAACGCGGTAAAGAAGGCTATTGGTAGAAAAACAGTGCTTACCAGCTTTCGATCGGACCGCCTGTTATAAGATCTTTGGTCGTTTCACGATCGAAGTTGAATGTGCCGTCGGGGTTTCGACGAAACAGTTTGCCAGACCCATGGCCTAATAATTCATGCAATCCGACCTGTATTTCGAAGGCTGTTTCGATATTTGGCAAGTACACTGATTTGTCTGCCTCCGATAAAAATTCTGCTTTTGGATCCTAAGTAACGAAAATGAAACTTAGGTGACAGACTCTCACCTTGAACCTTGCAGTCAAGACGTTGCCCAAGGAAACATTCTTGAAACCATCGGACTCGCGAATATCATCGTAGTTGGGTATGTTGATACCAATAGGAATGCCAGAAGTTGCGAATGTAACTACGTCCAGACTGGTGAAGTCCGGTTTACGGAAAACATCACGCTCGTATGTTGATGGCCAGGGCAAATGAGAAAGTATTTGCACGGCGCTGCTAACTAAGCTTTGAAATTTTGCTGAAATCACCTTATTCACAATTGCCACGAACCCTTCGAATTCCGCTCTCACACCAAGAGGATCTCGGTAACTTTCAATGAAACCGATATACGTTTCCACAGCCGGACTTCTGTCTTTAACCCAAACTTTGGATCCTTCCTTGTGAGCATCGATACTACCAGTCTTGAAGCTTTCTGCATACAAAGCCCACATTCTTTTTTGATCTTCATTCAACACAACAGGTAAAACCAGCTGTATGCTATCAACAAGAACGGACATCAGTTCACTCAAATCACCGAAGTGTAACTGAAACGACCAGTCCGATGGGAGCTTCACAATAGGTTCCGCCGGAATCACCTTCTTGTCAGCTGAAGCAATACGCAACGACACAACATGACGGTTATCCTCGGATGTACATTCTTTGAACAACCGAGTATTGTAGGCTTCCATGTTTGTGGCCTTCAGGTAGGTTTGAGCGATCTCAGCGTCTTCCCGAGAACAATCTGCGGAATAATACGTGGAAATTCCTTCTGATGGTCCGAACCCAAGTCGCAGCCGGCGAGAATTTAGGGAGTATATAGAAGGGCTTAATTCCTCAAACATTGTTTTCGCTGTACTGCCACTGTCGCAGAAAGCGTCTGTCACTGAGAGAAATTCCGCAAGTCTATTGTGAGAAATAGCCGGTATGAATTTGGTATCACCAAAGTTTTGATAGTTGCCCAAATTGCCGCAAACACAAGCGAAATATGACATTACTGCGTTAACCTCGTCCTCAGAAAACCCCTTTGTTTTAGCAACTTCGGCAACTTCGTCGGGTTTTTGTGATCCAAATATCTTCTGTATTAACAGGAAGATCCCCGCCGACTCAGGTGATGTTTGGACTAAATCGATTAAACCCCCGATCCACGAAGCTTGTGAACAAGCATATATGTACTTCTTTTCAGGATTTTCTAACTCGCCAAACGCTTGTGTTGCGTCCAAGTAGTACACCGGTGGAGGTACATTCACATAAAAATCCATTTTTTGCGTCTTCAAACGAGCTGATACCAGAGTTCTAATGTGGGAACTGCTCTGCAGAATGCACTGAAAATCGATTGAAATGAAAGCGTATTACAAGGGTAGTGATTGAGGAAAAAGAACTCCTATGAAGCTATCATTTATCACATAAATAACGGGGTACATGGATGCGAAAGAAGTTTTTAACCTAGCCTAGTATAAGAAGTGCACCTAGACTAGTAGCTATAGCCGCACACACCCATGTATATATATATTAAGCGGCGTCTATGCCTGGGTTCGAATCCCACCGAGGATACTGAACTTTTCACAATNCACAATCCCGAAATAAAACTTCAATCTGCCAAACAACCATTTGCACACATTAAGGTCTCACAATCATACAGCAAAACTGAACGGTAACAATATATACGGCCTTTCAAATTTAGTCCCGCGTAAGCTGCTCGAGCCTTTGAAATGTGGGCGGTTATCTCCTTGGATGCCCTAGCGTCATTGGTCACATAACTCTCCAAATAGTAAAAGTAATCCATTATTACTAATTCCTGGCCGTTTAATTTCAAATGGTGACTGAGCGACACCCAGTCCTGCAGCATCACTTTGCACTTCAAGGTGCAAAGCACATTCCGAATGTAGCAACAGAACTTGTTAGTCGATCAAGTGCGCCTTGCGCGTCCTTCATGCATTCGAACAGACAGGGGAAGCCATCAGCGAGCTCTAAATTGCAGAGCTTTCCACCAGCTGACCACACAATGCGTTCTCCAGTACTTCGTCTAAGACGAAATGAAACAGGAAGGGCAAAATGGGGCACCATTGACGAACGGCCTTCTTGGTTCATCATAGACCCTTACAAGACCAGAGGTGTGTGTACAGTGACCTCAGTAAGTAAATGAACTTCTGGGACATTTGTTTTGGAAGAAGGGAACCAACTAGGGCTTCGCGGTCAACCGAGCGGTAGGCTTCTTTCAGGTCAGTGAACACTGAAATCATTGGCCGAGGGTGGGTGTGATGCAGCTCAGGGACCTGACGCAACTTGATCAATACATCCACGGTCAGGCCGGAAATCGGCTTGCTGTCCATGGATGTTAGTTTCTCTTACACGAGTCAGAAGTCGAAGTACGAAGGAAGTTAAAACTTTGGCGACGACTGGCATTAAAAGTATCTCGCAACGGTTTGTGCAATCGTTCAGAGTTCCCTTCTTGAAAACGGGAAGGATCATTGATTCACCCCAAAATGAGTGAATGCACTCCTGCGTCCCAATGTGCAGTAGGTTAGTAATAGAGTTTACGAGATTATCAGCCCCTTCCTCACCATCTTGAAGAGTGGGAGAAGCTCATCCGGTTTTGTTGCCTTTTCTCGCTTCGGAGCTTAAATGCAAAACTGAACATCTCCTTCTGCCGGAGGATCGCACGACACTACCCACGGAGGTTCAGCTGACGTAATATTGTTAGCGCCAGACCAGCTGGGCTGTTCGCTGAAGTATTCCGCTCAGCTATCAAGTCGTTGATCCCTATTGTGAATAGCTTGCCCCCTTTTATCGTAGACTGTTTCACTAACTGGAGTTCGACGACCTCCGGTATTACATATCAGTCAGATCAGTCTTTGACTATTCCCTGATGCAGATGCTACTTTCATTTCACTAGCTATTGTTGCACACCAGTTCCAGTGTTCCTTCTTGAGGCTCTTCGTAAGCTGACGTTGTAGACGCCACCTAACTCGGTTTTGATCCTGGAAGGCCGAGATTTGTAGTTTTTTCACCATAAGGGATACTGACTCCTGAGATATCCAATGCCTCCGACGGGTTTGAGGCTCAGATCCACAAGCAACATTCACTGCGGAATGCATTGCTCGCCTAATCTGATCCCACTGCTCACCATCACGATGAAGTGCGCTAAGCTCACGTAGTAGCTCTGATTCATAGTGTACAAACGGCTGGAACAGATAGTCGATGGTGAGCTACTTGGGTTTTCTGGTTTTGTCGCAAGTCAGTGTCGGAGGGTGAACTGCATCAAAACTAATGCGTGGTCAGACTCGATGCAGATGATTCGATAGAACTTGTAACGTGCACTGAATCACACCAACGGTAGCTTACTGCCATGTGGTAGATTTGAGTTAATGTACCAGTTGAACTGCAGCACCATGTTGCCGTCCGTCGAGAGCTGTGTCGGAAGTTGGTACTGGATAGGAACAAATGGTGATCTGCGCAGAACTGAAGAAGTCGATCGCCGTTATTCGTTTGCTGGCAGGACAGAGCACAAGTACCGCCTATGCGAGCTCCTAGTGCGTTGTTTTCCAACCTGCGCATCAAAATCCCCTGCAAATTCTGACGATAACCTAACCGAAAGGCAGAGGATGAAGCGAAGTGGAGGCCTTGGATCGATTACTTCACCATTTAATTGAGTGAGACGCCAATTTAAGTCGAACCCCCTACCTGGAGGACCAGGAAACTGAAGTTTGTTAGACCACTACCCTTCGACCTCCCAGGCATGTTAAATCTTTGGTGTGACAAAAGTCATCCTCTGTAGCTCGTGGGGTCAGAGAGACGCACAAGCCAGTACACCACCTCAGGGTGCAGCCTCGTTATGATGGAATCCATTGAGGTGCTCTGATCTACACCGGTAGTTCAGCAAGCTGTCCGTTCTATTACGCAGGTTTAGCCCATCTCGTGAGAAGCCAATCCGAGAGGAGCAGGCCGGGTTTCGTGCACGCCGTGGTTGCATAGATTAATTCTTCACACTCCGTCAACNNCACCGCCACAGACAGAAACGATAAAATATCGTCGTGTTTTTGAACATCACAACTGTCTTTCACTCCATGGATCGCCCCGCACTGTGGAAATGTTTGCGGAGATAGGGAGTACCCGGGACGTGCTCTGCTTTTGAAAGCGTTCTACCAACAGACCCCAGGGAAGGTTAGTGCCTATGGTGAACTTTCATCCACATTTCTTGTCATCAATGGGGTACGACAGAGTTGTCCTATTCCTCTGTTTATCTTCACATTTGCCATAGATGATCTTTTACAAAACGCGTTACCTAACGTACCGAACGTTAGCGTCGAGCTTCGTCCTGGAGACAGATTTGTAGACTTGGAGTATGTCGATGATATTGCCTTACTCGGTGACAACGCAACAGCGATTAAGAACACGTTGGATCGTTTGTTAATTGAGGCTACTCGTTATGATACATCCTTTGCACCTTCAAGTGCAAGGTGTTCTTGCAAGATTGGCAGGAATCCCAGTCCTGTACATTTTTGGATAACCACACCCTGGAAGTAGTCAAATGCTCTGTCTACCTCCCGAGTTGCATAAATTCTGGCCGTGTGTTCCAGCAGATCTCTCAACACATAGTCAAAACTAGATTAGCGTTTGCTAATCAGTGGCGTCTCCGGCGCCGGCGCGATATCCCTTTCACTGAAAGGGTGTGCATTGCGTAACGGTATGTGCCGTGTTGCTTTATAGCTGCGAAACCTGGCCTCTCCGAATAGATAACGTAAAATGTCTATCCGTCTTCGACAACCGTTGTCTGCGCAACATCACTCACGTATGGCAGGAGCATCGCGTGCATGGCGATGCGGTCAGATAACGTATGTTAGGATCAGATAGTCTTCCACTGAGCAAAACAAGCTCACTGCAGCTTCTTAGGTGGTTGGGGCACGTCTTACGAATGCCTGAGCAACGTCTGCAATATCGTGCGCTGTTTGCATACATTGATCCAAACCAGAAGAAACAGCGCGATTGGAAGGCTACGAAGTGTTGTAATGGGTGGGGGAAATTGAGCTCGGATTTAAATTCCATCGGGGCTTCCCGGCTGGGGCCCCAAAGATTCAAATTGTTTTTGGCTAGGGACACTGCTGAATGTGGTATCAAACCGAAGTCAGTGACGTGAATACATCCATTTTTGTGTGTGATCCCAAAAATAAAATTAAAAAACGTCAAAATGGCGTTGTCAAAAAACAAAAAAGGTTGCTGATCCCACATTGGGTCCCAATTTGGAATGCTAACTGCACCGACTGAAAGCAATTAATCTGAGCCACATCGTGGTCGGACTGCCACGGCGCCTCTTCTAGCCTTGCCTATGAAGTACAAAGAGGACATTGAGAGGCATACAGCGGGTAGGTATATGCATAATTTGACCGAGTCATCGGAGGCGATGTGCAGCGATTTTTCTACCCAAAGACGCCTATTAGTACCAAACACGAAGCTAGACCTCGTCATTACTCTCACAATGTTCCTACCAGATACGAGCAATGCTTCCAAGACAACGCTGATCGAATACAAAAGGTCCATCAACACCCAGCGCGGAGAGGTTATTTCTGACAATCTTAAAGCAGAGGACTACGAACCGCGCCCATGTACAACCTTCTGTTAAGGGGAAGTCGGATGTCACGACGGCCCCAGAGGTATACCAGGTGGGAAAAAGCTGCTTTAGCTCTTGCTGTTCGTTATGTAATCTCTTGCTCAACAATATCTCCAGCTGCAAGCAAGGTACCTAAAGCTCTCCGCTGCTTCTAGCTGACCCCCATTGAGTGTGCGTGCAGGCCCAAGCTCCTATTATTTTCATACAAGCACTTTCCACCTGAATGGTGTAAAGAGCACACATCATCATTATTGTACAGCGGAATACAGTGAAGCGAACTTCAATGATCGCTGTCAAACTCATACTGCATACAAGATAAGTGAGAATGTGTAAGGATTGGACTTAATTTTAGGGATGGAAAAAGGAAGCGAACCTCTATGGTTGACACAGAGTATACAGTCCAACTGTGCATAAATACTATTTCAAGCATACGATGTCTCTATATCTCTATCACCAATCAGTCTAAAGCAATTTGGACAGTCTGTGTATTGTCCCGCAGCAAAGCGATACCGTTGGAAACTTCTGCAGAAAACTCCAGGTCCCTGAAGGAGGACGTTTGTCAGACCCGACAGACCATTTTGTAGAGCGTACTCGATAACAAATTTGAAAAGAATGGAGATACAGGGAAACATTGTACCACTCCACTAAAGACGACAAAGTGAGGCAAAAGCTGAGCATAGGCCCTAACTCGACCGGAGATAATCCTAAGTTTACAGGATTGCATATATGCACTAGTAATTTGTAGTCTACAGAGAGCAAGCACCTTCGGAATAAGCCTGCCGAGACCGGCGTGGTACCAGGCTTTTCATCCCACCACACTTCATTTCGTCCGCAATATTCACTCGCACAGGAACACTTGGTTGATGGAAGAGGCCCATAAGCGTCGCTTGAACTATTTTCTTATGTCCGTTTGACAGACCTAAGCTCTATATTTATAAGATGAAAAAACTATATCAAAAGAAGAATGAAATACAGGAACATATTACCTAGTAAGAAGTTAAGCTGATGTGCTTAAGTGGTTACATTTACTAAGGCTCGGCAAGAGCAGAACTGTATGCTACCGAGCGCGTCCCCGGGTCTGGTATGTGCTTTGCACCATCCAAAGTGCAAAGTACTGGTTCAAGACTGGCAGGAGTCTGTGCCTGCACTCACCCTCTGTGGTGATCAGCTGGAAANGCCCGTAAGGAGCAGGCTGGGTTTCGTACCGGTAGTGGTTGCATCGATCAAATCTTCACCCTCAGTTGCTTGAGGACCGTTATGCTTACCGTAGACCAACGATCACTGTGATCTTAGACATTCGCGCAGCCTTCGATTCTTTTGGTAAGACCACACTATGGAGGTGTTTGTTGATGAATGGAGTATCAGAGAAGTATGTGTCGATCCTCAAAGAGTTGTATCGCCATACCTCAGGTCGGGTTAGGGCTTTATGGCCAGCTTTCACCACCCTTCGCCGTCTCCGGTGGAGTTCGACAAGGCTGCCCTATATCCTCTTTCCTTTTCAACTTCGCCATTGAGGATGTTCTGCAGGACACTTTGTCCGGTCTAGCAGACGGGGGAGTCAAACTGCTCCCAGGGAATAGAGTTCTTGACTTAGAATATGCCGATGACATCGCCTTGTTGGGTGACAACGCACAG